TTTGGTAATCTCACAATACAGATAAATTTGCTGACGTTGTTGTTGGTATTTAACTTTAATGTCAAAATTAAATTAGAGAGATTGTATTTAAATATATCTCTGTATATATTTAAATGAATTATTGTTATTAATTAAATGTTAATATATTATTATATATTAATTGATTTTAATTATAATAATAATTAATAAATTAAAATACCATACAGGGGGTGTTTAGTTACAAGGGTGAACTGGAGTTGGAGCCCAAGGCTATTCCTAAGTGGAATAGGGTTTTAATTGTTGCACTATATAAGTGTAACTTAAAATTAACACATTGGGAGATTCATTCATTCATTGAAAAATTAAAACCCCAGCAAACCTTTTACTGTCTTTCTCTCTCTCGTTTCACTCTTGAGTGAAAAAGAGAAAAATTTCATTTTCTTCTTCTTGATTCTTAAAGCCCTTTGATTGTTCCAACAAAACAATCAAGGGTTCTGTAGACTGTCTTCGTGTTGATAACCGTGAGTGCGGTCCTACTTTAGATCGATTAGCGAAGAATCACGTGAACAATGTCGGTGAACAGTAGCTAGTGAACAGTATTGGTGAACAGTAGCCGCTGAACAGTGTTCATGTCTGAATTCAAAGACATTCAGAAGAGCCTCCAAACGTGAATAAGTATTCTAAATCCTTGTATGGATTTATCATACTTTTGTAATGAAAAAGGTTATAAATATTATAATTTATACCCAGATTTGGGATTAAAGCATACGATCAGTTTTATTTGTTTTTAAAAACTGTGTTTTTCCGCTGCGTCAACCCGATCACATGCTAACAGCCTTGACCCAAAATGCTTAGCATATCATTTTTTACGATTTTCCAAAGTTTTAATCTTCAAAAACTCATTAAAAAAAAAATTATGCTTTTGCGAATTGCTTCCTTTTTTTGGTGTTTAGTTCCTTGCATTTTTCTCCACCACCATGAAAAAAACCAGATCAAAAGGACAACCTTATAAAAGATTGTCCCTTGGTGAGCACGGCCCTAGTGTGCAGCAAAAGAAGGTTTTTGGTGCACACCAAGGGCATGCACCACAATTCAAATGGGCATTTTTTGAAGTAGAACAAAACAAACCCCGACCCAAAATGCTTAGTATATGATTTTTTACGATTTTCCAAATATTTAATCTTTAAAAAATCATTAAAAAAAAACCCACTCGTGCGAATTGCTTCCTTTTTTTTGTTTTAGATTCCTTGAATTTTTCTTCATCACCATGCTAAAAACCAAAACTTTCGAATTTCAGCTCCTTCCTGTGCACTGAAAACCCAGTTTAGGGGAATGGACGTTAATGTGGGTTGTGTTTGCCCTTGGTGTGCACCAAAAACTTTCTTCTGAAAAGATCGTCTCCCACAAAGTTTAGGATCACCCGCCCAAATGTACACACCACAATTCAAATGGGCATTTTTGGAGAACAACAAAACAAACCCCGATCCAAAATGCTTAGTATATGATTTTTTTTTTACGATTTTTCAAAGTGTTAATCCTCAAAAAATCATTAAAAAAAATCCGCACCTGTTAATTGCTACCTTTTTTTTGCGTTTGGTTCCTCGCATTTTTATCCACCACCATGAAAAAAATCAGATCAAAAAGACAACCTCCGAAAAGATCATCCCCTGGTGCGCACACCACTCAGTGTGTAGAAAAAAGAAGGTTTTTGGTGCACAGCAAGTGTATACACCAAAATCCAATTAGGGATTTTAGGAGAACCAAAAAAAAAATAAAAAAAAAAAAAACCAACCCAAAATGCTCAGTATATGATTTTTTACGATTTTCCAAACTTTTAATCTTAAAAAAATCATTAAAACAAATCCGCTCATACGAATTCCTTCCTTTTTTTGTGTTAGATTCCTTGCTTTTTTATTCACCACCATACGGAAAACAAAAACTTTCCAATTTCAGACCCTTCATGTGCACTGAAAACCCAGTTTGGGGGAACTGAGGTTAATGTAGGTTGTGTTTGCCCTTGGTGTGCACCAAAAACCTTCTTTTGAAAAGATCATCGCCCACAAAGTTTAGGATCTCCCGACCGAATGCATAAACCACAATTCAAATGGGAATTTTTGGAGCACAGTGCTTAATATATGATTTTTTACGATTTTCCAAAGTTTTATCTTAAAAAAATCTGCTTATGCGAATTGCTTCCTTTTATTTGCATTTGGTTCCTTGCATTTTTCTCCACCACCATGAAAAAGACTAGATCAAAAGGACAACCTTCGAAAAGATCGTCCCTTGGTGCACACGCCCTCGATGAGCAGCAAAAAGAAGGTTTTTGCTGCACACCAAGGGTATGCTCACTAAGTGTATCCATCACAATTCAAATGGATTTTAGGAGCAGAACAAAACAAACCCCTATCCAAAATGCTTAGTATATGATTTTTCACGATTTTCCAAAGTTTTAATCTTCAAAAAATCATTAAAAAAAATTTGCACCTGCGAATTGCTTCCTTTTTTTTTGCATTTGATTCCTTGCATTTTTCTCCACCACCATGAAAAAAACCAGATCAAAAGGACAACCTTTGAAAAGATCGTCCCTTGGTGAGCACGGCCCGGTGTGCAGCAAAAGAAGGTTTTTGGCGCACACCAAGGGCATGCACCACAATTCAAATGGGCATTTTTGGAGTAGAACAAAACAAACCCCAACCCCAAATGCTTAGTATATGATTTTTTACGATTTCCCAAAGTTTTAATCTTCAAAAAATCATTAAAAGGAATCCGCTCGTGTGAATTGCATCCTCTTTTTTTTTTTTTTTTTTTTTGTGTGTGTGTTAGGTTCCCTGCATTTTTCTTCACCTCCATGAAAAAAACCAAAACTTTTGAATTTCAGCCCCTTCCTATGCACCTAAAACCCAATTTGGGGAAATGAAGGTTAACGTGGGCTGTGTTTGCCCTTGGTGTACACCAAAAACCTTCTTTTGAAAAGATCGTCCCCCACAAAATTCAGGATCTCTTGACCAAATATACACACCACAATTCAAATGGAGATTTTAGGAGCACAACAAAACAAACCCCGACCCAAAATGCTTAGTATATGATTTTTTTACGATTTTCCAAAGTTTTAATCTTAAAAAAATCACTAAAAAAAATCCGCTCGTGTGAGTTGCATCATTTTTTTTTGCGTTAGGTTCCTTGCATTTTTCTTCACCTCCATAAAAAAAACCAAAACTTTTGAATTGCAGCCCCTTTCTGTGCACCTAAAACCCAGTTTGGGGGAATGGAGGTTAATGTGGACTGTGTTTGCTCTTGGTGTGCACCAAAAACTTTCTTTTGAAAAGATCGTCCCTCACAAAGTTCTGGATCTCCTGACCAAATGTAAATAGTACAATTCAAATGGGCATTTTTGGAGCACAGCAAAATAAACCCCAACCCAAAATGCATAGTATATGAGTTTTTACGATTTTCCAAAGTTTTAATCTTTAAAAAATCATTAAAAAAATCCACTTCTCCAAATTGCTTCTTTTTTTTTGCGTTTGATTCCTTGCATTTCTTTCCACCACCATGAAAAAAACCAGTTAAGAAAGGAAACCTTCAAAAAGATTGTTCTAGTGTGTAGCAGAAAGAAGGTTTTTGGTGCACACCAAGTGTGTACACCACAATTCAAATGGGGATTTTAGGACCACAACAAAACAAACCCGAACACAAAATGCTTAATATATAATTTTTTACAATTTTCCAATTCTAAAAAATCACTAACAACATCTGCCTCATGTGAATTGCTTTTTTTGTTTTTTTTTTTTTTTTGTGTTAGATTCCTTGCATTGTTCTTCACCACCATGCAAAAAACCAAAACATTTGAATTTTTGCCCCTTCTTGTGCACCGAAAACCCAGTTTGGGGGAATAGAGGTTAAAGTGGCCTGTGTTTGCCCTTGGTGTGCACCAAAAACCTTCTTTTGAAAAGATCGTTCCCCACAATGTTCAGGATCTCTAGACCAAATGTATACACCACAATTCAAATGGGCATTTTTGGAGCACAACAAAATAAATCCTAACCCAAAATGCTTAGTATGTAATTTTTTACGATATTCCAGAGAAAAATGACAACCTTCTAAAAGATCATTCCTTGGTACGGACGTCCCCGGTGTGCACCAACAAGAAGGTTTTTGGCATACACCAAGTGCGTGTACTCCAAGTGTATACACCACAATTAAAATGGGGATTTTAAGAGCACAGCGAAACAAACCCCGACCCAAAATGCTTAGTATATGATTTTTTACGATTTTCCAAAGTTTTAATCCACAAAAAATCATTAAGAAAAATCCGCTCATGCGAATTGCTTCATTTTTTTTTAGTTAGATTCCTTGCATTTCTCTTCACCACTATGAAAAAAACCAAAACTTTAGAATTTCTGCCCCTTCGTGTGCATCGAAAACCCAGTTTGGGGGAATGAAGGTTAATGTGGGCTGTGTTTGCCCTTGGTGTGCACCAAAAATCTTCTTTTGAAAAGATCGTCCCCCACAAAGGTCCGGATCTCCCAACCAAATGTATACACCTCAATTCAAATGGGAATTTGTGGAGCACCGTAAAACAAACCCCGACCAAAAATGCAGAGTATATGATTTTTTACGATTTTCCAAAATTTTAATCTTAAAAAAATCATTAAAAGAACCCCTCATACGAATTACTTCATTTTTTGTGCGTTTGGTTCCTTGCATTTTTCTCCACCACCATAAAAAGGACTAGATCAAAAGGACAACCTTCGAAAAGATCGTCCCTTGGCCCGCACGCCCTCGGTGTGGAACAAAAAAAAGGTTTTTGATACACTCCAAGTGTATACACCAAATTTCAAATGGGAATTTTAAAAGCACAACAAATCAAACCCCGACCCGAAATGCTTAGTATATGAATTTTTATGATTTTTCAAACTTTTAATCTTCCAAAAATCATTAAAAAAAATCCACTCGTGTGAATTGCTTACTACTTTTTTTTTTTTTTTTTTTTTGTGTTATATTCCTTGCATTTTTCTTCACCACCATGAAAAAGCTTTATACAATCACCAAAGGCAATGAGCTCCTTAAGTGCCCAATATCAGCCAAACTCATGGAATCTAAAAGAACTACTTCATCTTCGGGAATAACTCCTTATAGAACTCATTATCATCCAACCCATAAAAGAGTGTCATCAAATTGTCTTCACTTCCGTTAGGAGGGTCTTCATCTACACTTGAATTTGTATTAGTTTCAGTCTTTGTCGCACTACCATCATCAACTATCGTCTGGAAAGGGGATTGTACTTGTTTTTCATGGAATAGCTCCTCATAGAACTCATAATTTTCCAAATCTTCTCCGCTTCCAAGGCTCTTCATCCAAACTTATGGAATTTGAAACAACTTCCTCATCCTCTGGAAATAGCTCCTTCTAATACTTATCATCATTCAACTCAACAAAGAATGTTGTCAAATCATCTCCACTAACTTTAGAAGGAGGCTCTACATCTACACTTGAACCTATAGCAGTTGCAGACTTGCTTCTACTACCATCTAATGAAATATGGAATGCTATGATTGTGCTTGATTACATGCTTTGATTATGCTTGATTACATGCTGTGATTGTGCTTCCCGAATTTCATGTGATTCCATCTTTATGATGAGATTTGTATTACCATAGTTTGCTTAAACTTTTCTGCATAAATTCATCTCTGTACAAACATACACAATACAACAATTCAATATACTTTTCCTTGAGCATTCTTTTTCTTCTCTTTGGCATACTTCGGCAATACAATTGCTTCTCTTGCCTCTCTTTTATGCTAAGTTCTGACACCATCAACTACTTGGAAAGAAGATTGTACTTGCTCTTCATCAACAAATAAATCTCCAAGGTCAGGACTCAGCACACTCATAATCATTAGTCACACCAGGAAAAATCACTTCTACGAGAGTTGAATTTTCTGCATTGTCTTCAGTAACATCATTATTATTCACAAGTGCTTTGGCTTGCGATTCTACCCATTCTTGATAATTTTGAACCTTGATGCATTTATTAGACCCAAGATTCTCATCAAAATGCTTAGCTTCAACGGTGGTCCAGGCTTTAGGAGTTCAGAAAGAATAACTACATAGACAACAAGAAGTTAGTGAATTATCAAGAACAAATAGTTTTGGAGCAGATAATTATCGTGTAAATTATGCAGAATGTAAAGTTTCCAATTGTAATCGGCATAAAATTATCCTAAAGGCAGTAACCTGATCATCTAGGACGTAAAGGAAGGATGCAAATGGGTATTTCTTCCTTATCTTCTACATTTTAGGATTGAGTGGTATCCCTCTCTTGATTTCTCCTCTTAACCTATTAATTTCTCTCCATCTCCCTTATATAGAATCCTATATTGTCTATCTCTGTTATTCTTCTCCTCCTCTATAACCTAAGGAGCAAAAATATTATCTACTAGACACTATCACTACCGGAGTTTTGTCCAACATTTCACAACATCAAGAATCCACTAGAAAATGGTTAAACAGCACATCCACAAAAAAAAAAAAAAACTAAATAAACTGACAAAACATATGCTGCAATGAAATCTATATAGATTTGAGACATATTTAGATATTAAAATAGACTCGTAGCTTAGTTAACAGCCTATTAAATGAGCTATAAGATAACACCGTTTGATAACATTATGGGGATCTTACCCGAGTCCATTTTCATGCCATTCTACTTCATAGATTTCAGCGGCAATTTGAAATCCCATTTCCAGACCATGATGTTTCATAGTTTTCAATGGCAATAATTGCATATCGACCAAATCTCCATGGATCACCATTACAACAGCTGCATAGGTAACACCAAACCATATTTCTCTTGACTGCAATGTTGTCATGTCAACCGTTCCAACAGGTAGATCCCATTGACCAGCCCCTGCTCTGCATCCATATTCTTTAAGACATTATAGTTAAAAACCTTCTCTAATGCTCTTCTTGTTTTGTCTTCATCGACTATCATTGAAAGAGCACATGCTCGTGCATAACTACATTACAGACACACTTGGTAAGTTCTAGTCTTATCAGATTTGAACTAAAAAGAATATATATTGAGAAAAAGAAACATGTGAAACACTATAAATAAATTAAGATTTTTCAGGCCCGAATAATTGAGAATATCAATGAATGAAGTTAATCAGTTGCAACATACCATTGTCCAGTAAACTGATAAGCTTGAATAGATGAACTTGAGCAGCTACCATTATTGTCGTAGTTGAAGTAAGAACTATTCCACAATTTCTCACATACAACTTTTACTTACTGAAATTTGCACCAGAAATAATCCTCAAACCCTTAAGACCTACTTCATGTGCAAATGCTACCGCAGCCTGCAATGCTGCCACCTCTACTATATGCACTTACAACAGAGACAGATCATGTATCGTATGTCTGATCAGGGAAGCCATTATTCTCAATCATCCCCATCACCATCCCTATCAAATTTGAACAGATGAAAGTATTTACTGAACCTTCTTCTCACTGTAACCAAAATAGAGCATTTGGGTAGAAGGATGAACTTTTGCAGGATTCTGCTCCTAAAAAAGTTTAATACTCACTAAAGTTTTATCACGTAAACTTCAATTTCGCTTTTGGACCAGAAATTGAGGAAGCTGGTTCAAACATTCACAATAATTTCCAGCCTTCATTATTAGCTGCATCACTAAGGACATTGTCAATTCAGTTGGCTTCACATTTCTCTCTGCCATCTTATGAAGGAGTTCAACAACTTTTGCTATCTTATTACTTTTGAGGAAACCGAACATGAGCATATTAAATGTGACTACATCTAGAGCACATCCTTTTTCCTCCATATATGACAACAACTCATTTGCCTTTTCTAGTCGTCTAGTTTTACAAAGCCCATTGATCAAGATGCTATATGTCACAATGTTTGGTACTAGGTTTTCATGAAGACAAAATTTCTGAAATAGGTCCCATCCAGTTTCGAATCTCCCTGTTTTACATAATCCATCAATGAGGGAATTCAAACCTTCAAGGCTAACCGCAAACTTATTATTTACTAGAGTATTAAACCTTTCCACCGCCTCCAAAACACATCCATTCTTGCAAAGTCCATCAATGAAAATGTTATATGTCCAAGAATTAGGTAAAACACCATTAAGTTGCATCTCACCAACTAAATTCCGTGCATTTTTTACATTAGCTTTAAGAAAAAGGCCACTTAACAAAGTGCTATAAATTGCCACAGCAAGCCTAATTCCTTCATAAATCATCTTCTGATAAAGATAAAGAGCTTTGTTGACTTCTTTATTCTTGCAACACCAATTTATTAAAGTATTGTAGCTAACAACATCAGGTCCATACCCCTTTCTAGTTACAGAATCAAACAACTCCCTTGCATCACTAATTCTATCAGCCAAGCAATAACCATTCATTAAAATGTTCTAAGTATAAAGGTTTAGACTAAGTTCCAAACCCTTCATTTCAAAATACAATTCTCTTGCTTTCTCAATTAATCCTGCCTTACAAAGACCATCAATTATAGTACTATAACTAACAACATCTGGCCTACAAATAACACCAGATTCTTCATTCCCTTTAGCCATTTCTTCAAGCAACTTAATGGCAACACTTATCTTCCCTGTTTTACACAATCCATCCATCAAAGTGTTGCAAGCGATGACATCAGGCCTACAACCAATAACAACCATTTTCTGAAACAATTCCATTGACTCCATAATCTTTTTCTTTACATAAAGACCTTTAATCAAACAAGTGAAAGTCACAGCATTAGGTCAAAATCCCCCCCAAAAGCGCAAAACTATCCGAAACCCTTTTAATATTACAAAAGCAATTCATCAAAATGTTCAAAGACATCAAATCTGGAGACAACCCAGTTGAATTCAATAGCTTATAAAGCGAAATCACTTCAAAATAATGCTTCTTCTTAGCTAGTGCACTAAACAAAGCAGTGAATGATGAAATTGGAGAAATGGGATGTGAATTAATCATGTAATAAAAAAAGTAGAACGCTTCATTCAGAGTAAAGTTACCTGATCGACAATTTTCTTTGAGGAATTTAGCAAGTGAGGGTCGTTCAAGGGGTTTTTCGGAAGAATACAAAACTTCATTTTTGGAGCTTGAAGTTGTAAGGTTGTGTAAGTGAGCTAACAAAGATGGAATATTACCTTTCAGAGGTGGATTTTGAGAGATTGAAGAGGAACGAAATGGGGATCTCAAAGCCATTTATGAAGTGTTCTTTTGGGTCGTTTTTCTGAACCAAGGTCATTGCAAAAAGCAAACGCAATAAAGTTAAAGAGAGATGCTTTGAAAAATTTCACAAACAACCTTTATGGTTTTCAAAATTACAAACTTTAAAGTATCGATCTTTCCTTTACAAACCGCCTTCATGATTTCGAAAATTATTCACTTAGCACCCTAAAGGTTAAAAATCTAGATCCAAATTCTGGTGTGGATGGTTGCTTTTCGGTTTCTGCAAAATCCAAAATTATCCCGTTAATCAAACAAAATGCAACCTAAAGTCCCAAACCAACCATGGTTTTTTTTCACTTTTTTTTTTTTAATAAAATAAAAATATTTTTTAATTATTCATTAAAATGCTGCAATTTGAAAATTTGATATCTAATTTAAAGTTTTCAAGTGAGATCTCCGAAAGTTTTGCAAGTGGAAACATGATATCCACAAACCACGTACTAAAAGTTAATGATTATAATATGAAAGCTACTATAAACCTATGAGAATTTCCTTATATGTTAAACTCTCGCTCTTACAATCCTTAATCATTTTTTTCTTTAGAATTCGTAAATTCTCTAATTGTACATTAATGTTAGTGTTTTATCATTAATTTGGACAAGAAAGAAGTAAAATAATAAACAACTTTTATATTTTATAATTAATAACAGCTAATGAAATTATAGAAATTCAAAATTATAAAAGTTTAACAAAGGTAAAGGATTATGAACTATTACCAATATCTTAAAAGGTTTATGGAGAAGTTAGTGTAATTATCTTTTATGTAATTAATTTCACGTTTGATTTATTACACTATAATTAATTATGTTTATTCTATTAAGATTTATCAGGCCTGAATATTTGAGAATATCAATGAATAAAGTTAATCAGTTGCAACATACCATCGTCTAGTAAATTGATCAACTTTAATAGATGAACTTAAGTGGCTACCATTATTATCGTAGTTGAAGTAAGAACCGTTCCACAATTTCTCATATTCAACTTTTGCTTACTGAAATTTGCACCATAAATAATCCTCAAACCCTTAAGACCTACTTCATGCGCAAATGCTTATGCGTTTGCAATGCTACTACTTTTTTTTTTTTTTTTTTTTTTTTTTTTTTTTTTTTTCGTATCTCTGATCAGGGAATCCATCATTCTTAATCATCTTCATCACCATCTCTACCAAATTCGAACAGTTGAAAGTGTTTCATGAACCTTCTTCTTATCATTACCAAATAGAGCATTTGGGTAGAAGGATGAACTTTTGTAGGATTCTACTCCGAAAAATTTTTAATACTCACTAAAGTTTTATCATGTAAACTTTCATTTTGCTTTTGAACCACAAATTAAGGAAGCTGGTTCAAGCATTCACTATAAATTTTGGCCTTCATTAGTAATCGCGTGAATAAGGACATTGTACAACCAGTCAGCTTCAAATTTCTCTCTGTCGTCAAATGAAGGAGTTCAACAACTTTTGTTATCTCATTATTTTTTAGGAAACCAAACATGTGTGTATTAAATGTGACAACATCTGGAGCACAACCTTTTTCCTCCATATGTGACAACAACTCATTTGCCTTTTTCTAATAGTCCAATTTTACACAGCCCATTGATCAAAATGGTATAAGTTACAATGTCTGGCACTAGGTTTTCATGAAGAGAAAATTTATGAAATAGGTCCCAAGCAGTTTTGAATCTCCCTATTTTACATAATCCATCAATGAGGGAACTCAAACCTTCAATGCTAACTACAAAATTATTCTTTACTAGAGTATTAAACATTTCCACCACTTCCAAAACACATCCATTCTTGCAAAGTTCATAAATGAAAATGCTGTATGTCCAAGAATCAGGTAAAACACCATTAAGTTGCATCTCACCAACTAAATTCTTTGCATCTTTTACATTAGCTTTAAGAAAAAGGCAAGTTAACAAAGTGTTAAACATAATCACATTAAGCCTAATTCCTTCAAAAATCATCTTTCGATAAAGATAAAGAGTTTTGTTGACTTCTTTATTCCTACAATACCAATTGATTAAAGTATTGTAGCAAACAACATTAGGTATATACCCCTTTCCAATTATATAATCAAACAACTCCCTTGCATCGCCAATTCTATCAACCAAGCAATATTATCTGATGATGTTGTAGTCAATGTGCAAAAGGGTCAAAAATGCATGAAAATTTTCCTATCTTTGTGCCCAAGTGTTCAAGTTTGGATTATGTTTTGATTCTCATGGTTATGAATGACTAAGTTTATGTTATTTATACTTCTTTTTATCATACTTGTTGCATTATGTGGATTATAATGATCTGTGAGTTGATATCTTTTTCTTTTGATTCATAAAAATAAAAATAAATAAATTAAAAAAAAAAAAAGGAGAAGAATTGAGTAGTTGTGGATGATTGAGTTCATATTGAGTTAATATGTTGAGAAGAATGTGAATATATTGTTTACTTCATTTAGGTGTTTATAGTGAAGTGATGTTTATGCTTAATGATATATCTTTACTGAATTTCTTTTCTTTACTCTTATGTGTCATTGTGTTGATGTGTTGATGCCTTTTTTTTTTTTAATGACAAAAAGGGGAGAAAGAAGATGAAATTGAGTAATTGTTGTGAAGTGTTTTGTTGTTTTTACTTATTGTGTATGGAAAGCATATTGTGAGGTGGAGCTTTTTCTCTAAATTTATAGTTCATTTCTATTGAAAGAATATGCATTATGTCCCATTTTTGCTCGATGTCAAAAGGAGGAGGGGGGGGGGGGGGGGGGGGGGGGGGGGTGGGTGGGGGTTGGTTTTCATATGGATCTTAACTTTTTCAATTTCTTTTGTATACAAATTTTGCTTTGTTTTGTCATTAATCAGAAAGGGGGAGATTTTTGGACCCTTGTGCGTTTTGATGTGCCAAACCAAGCAAGATAATTGTATAAGGACTAACAAAACTCTAAGGCATGACATAAATCATGACCAAAAATGAAAATGCAGGATTTAATCTCAGAATTATTGTCTGGAACACTCTTGGGTATTTTGATGATACCTTTGGCTAGAGAAATCTAAATCTGGTGATTCTTGTGGCATTGGAAAGCTAACTCAATGATCTAAAATTTTTATGTACATAGGTTCACCCAGATCAGCGAGTATCTAGGGGACAATCAAGATACAAACTTAACAGTCTGGCAGAATCAACATCCAAAACTATCTTTTGGTAGTTTAAGGATAACTTTGGCTACAGAGATAAGAATGGTGTGATGTTGGTGGAGTTGGGAAGCTAATGCATAAGGCCAAAACTTTTATGTTCATAAGTTCACTCAGATCAGTCGGGATTGAGAAGGAAATCATTACATAAGTTGATGGTCTAGCAGAATTAAGATCCAGAACATCTCTTCGGTATTTCAAGGATAACTTTTGCTATAGATATCATAATTATGTAATTCTTGCGGCTTGAAAAATATAATTGAAAGTCTAAAACTTTCATTTTATTACTATGCTCAAATCAGCTCAAATCATGAAGGAACACCCTTTCCATAAAGTTTTTCCATATCAAGTCAAATCCTTTGGACTTTGAAGATTCACGCTTAAGTCAAAGATTTGAAAATCAAAGTGTCTAACTAGAACAACCACGTCATACAACTGTTCTAAACCAAAGATCGTTCCTTGGTAGAACATCAACATTCTAGGAAGTTGTGCATGCTTCTGGAATTTTTATGGACTTTGAAAAGCCAAATGGAATGACCATATGCATTTTGGATTTCGCTAAGCCCTGGATCTTTTCAAAGCAAGCTTTTTCTGGTGCATATCTACAGGAGAAGGTCTTCGGGATTCCATGAATCAAATGTAGTGAGTGATTTGAAAAACAAGTGAGATTTAGGCAAGAACTAGAGAGAAGAAGGCTTATGATGGCACAAAGACAGTTTTAGAGAAAAATATGATGTTGGCACAATATAAACAAAAACCGTAGAAAAAATAGGACTTTCACTCATGTACGGACACTTAAAAACAGATGTACGCACATAATGAGATGATGTTAGCACACAATGAAACAAACTTGACAATATGGAGATATTCACAAATATGTTGGCACATAAGACAAAAATTAAATGAACTGAAGTCATCCACATGCATGTTAGCACACAATCTTTCAATGTGACAACATTTTCACAAAAGCAACTAACTTATTACACTTATTCATTTTTGAATAAAAACAAAAAAAAGCTAAAATAAGGCAAAAATCATGAGATCAAACAAAAATTTTACAAGATTTTCAGGAGGCAAGTTATTATGACATGTGCAAATAACACTCAATCTAGATCTCAATCTTTAAAAGTTGATACATCATAAGGATCACAACATACAAAAATCAACAGTCAAGGTAACAATTCCTCAAATCATGCAACTAGTAAAAAGTTGAGATTCCTCATCATATGTGTGTGATGGTTCCTCAAGGGATGAATATGACACATTTGGTCAAACATTTTAAGAAATCTCCCTTATTCGTCATGCCCTTTTTCTTTTTGATTTCTTTCTTTTCTTTCTTTTTGAACATAATCACAATTTTTTTTTTATTATTTTTTTTTTGAATTCATTTTCACAACAGAAGTGATTTAATGGGCAAATTCTCTGAAGAAGTAACCATCTGTAGCTTTCACACTTGCAACCAGATATCCCTCTTAATGATAGATTTTCCAAAACTTAGAGACTCTACATCTTAGAAAATTACTCAAAAA